CATGATGATGATGATGATGATGATGATGATGATGCTGATGATGATGATGATGATGATGATGCTGATGATGATGATGATGATGATGATGATGATGATGATGATGATGATGATGATGATGATGATGATGATGATGATGAGGAGGAGGAGGAGGAGGAGGAGGAGGAGGAGGAGAGGAGGAGGAGGAGGAGGAGGACGAGGACGAGGACGAAAACGAGGAGGAGAAGGAGGAAGAGGAGGATCAGGGTATTGTTTTGGACCCGTCGGGAGAAACACACACCAACGAACTTGCGACGTGCGCTGCTTGCAGACGCGCCTTTGCAGTCGTGCTGCCTTCTGTATTGCGAGGGCCTGACGTGCAGCAAGGCTCCGAACTCGGAGGAGGAGGAGGAGGAGTAGTAGGAGGAGGAGGAGGAGGAGAGGAGGAGGAGGAGGGAGGAGGGAGGAGGAGGAGAGGAGGAGGAGGAGGAGGAGGAGGAGGAGGAGGAGGAGGAGGAGGAGGAGGAGGAGACGATACGCTTCCTTAAGGGGTGGAAGGTCCCGTGTTGGATGGCCTTGGTCGGGCATCCACCTTTGAGGGCCAAACGGTCCGCAGCGAACGTCTGGGAGCTCCTGCTGAGGCTCTGAGAGGGCGAGGGCCCCCGAGAAAGCCCCAAGGAGGCCCCAGGAGGGCCCGGTAGGCCTCCTAGAGGGCCCTACTTTGCCACGATCTCCAGCCTCAGTTGGGAGATCGTGGTCTTTTGGGGCTTTCCTGGGGCCCCTAGCAGCTGCTGGGCGGGATTCGGACTTGGGTCTGTCCTGAAGCCCCTGGCAGCTGCTGGGCGGGATTGGGACAGCTTGTCGGGCCTCCCTGAAACCACAACCAGGGGGCTCTTTGGGCGCGGTGGCAATGGCACTTATTTTCGCTTGCGTGGTACCCCTTTGTAGCGCGCAACGCTGCCTGCCCGCTGGGCAGGCTCGCCTACGCCACGCCGACCGCCGAAGCGGCGTGAAGCGCCCCTGTGTCGGCCACCCGGATCCTCCTCCCTGCCCTGTCCCTTCCCATGTTTGGTGTACAGCGGACCGCCTGATGAAACGCACCTCCCCCGATGATCCAGCGCCTCCTGGCCAGGTGGTGAAAATGGGCTCAGGCATTTTACGGAGCTGCTGGACATGCCCAGATACCCAAGTGCACCACCGCGGGACGGAACGTCCCCAGCCGCCCCCGCGGGCGAAAAGAAGGCCCCTGGGAGCTCCTGGGCGGGACTTGGACAACTAGTCGGGCCTCCCTGGAGGCTCCGAGAGGGCTCGCGAAGCCTAACGGAGACCCCAAGAATGGCCACAAGACGGTTCCAAAAAGTCCCCAAGAGGGCCCCGCACCCGCATGTCGGCGTTTGTCGTCACCATGGGGTGGGGTGGTGCGTGGGGGCATTTGGCGGGTCCGTCGTCCTTCCTTTCTTCTGGCTTGGGCTTGCATTTTTGAGACGTTGCTTCTCTGCGACACTGAAGCCATCTTAGGCCCCCCATTGAAGCCATCTTTTTAGAGCCCTCAAAGACGCCCGAAAGGGCCTGCGTATAACAATACAGACCCTGCGTATAATGCGTCGTGCTCCAGCCTCGAAAGCTGGAGCATTATACGCACCAGCTGGGCCGTTGTACGCACTCTCTCGGGGCGCACTTAGAGCCCTTAAAGACGCCAGAGGGCCTGCGTATAACAAACAACAGCCCTACGTCTAATGCGTCGTGCTCCAGCCTCGAAAGCTGGAGCATTATACGCACCACGCTCGGCCGTTATACGCAGCCTTGCCGGCCCTTCGTGGAGCTCCCTTGTTTTTTGTTTGAAAGCCCTCGAAGGATGTCACTGGGGCTCCCAGGGAAGAGTTGAATCCTTGACCGATCTGCGCACAGAGGGATGGTGGGATGCTCCACAGTCAGCTGAGCCCAGGTGTGGTGGCGGGTTCAGCCGAAGACGCCACGTAACCATGGTAATCGGCGCCACGTTACAAATGCGCACGGCCGCCGGCCTTGCCGCCGGACAGCGTCCTTGAGGCAACAACCTCGCGACGGGGGCTGGCTTGCGTAAGCTGCGGACGCACGATGACTGGCACTGCCGCCAGCCAGCGTCTCAAAGAGGACGAACCCTGGTAACGGTCCGACGTGAGAGGGTGCAGGACTGCCAGCCTTGCCGCCAGGCAACGTCCTTGAGGCATCTGCCTCGCGACGGGGGCAGGCGTGCAGACTCGACAAATGCACGCAGACTGTCGTTGCTGCCAGGCAGCGCCCACTGGAGACGAGGTGCGAGAGCCAGGGAGAAGTGAGTGTGCAGAACCGCCAGCCTTGCCGCCGGATTGTGTCCTTGAGGCGACTGCCTCGCGACGAAGGCAACCGCGCAGAGCTTGCGGATGCGCGCTAGCTGGCACTTCCGCCCATGCCTCAGGCATCAGAGGCGGGTGCCCGTGACTGTCCATTGACACGGATGGGCATCCAGGCCCGTACGGCCCTGCCTCCCTGGGGACGGACGGCCGTGCCTGCCCTGAGTGTGAGGGCGAAAAGGCCTAGGCCACTGTCGCCCGGCCATTCACTGGAGAACGGGTTTACCCAAGGGTGCTCCTCGAGATTAAGGGCCTCTTAGTGGCGCCCTGTGCGTCCCCTGAGCATCTCCCCTTACCCAGTATCGAATGGCTTCGGCACGGGGAGGAGGAGGAGGTGGAGGAGGAGCAGGAGGAGGAAAAGGAGGTGGAGGAGGAGGAGGACAAGGAAGAGGAAGAGAAGGGGGAGGAGGAGGAGGAGGAGGAGGAGGAGGAGGAGGAGGCAGAGGAGGAGGAGGAGGAAGAGGAGGAGGAGGAGGATCCGCCACAAGAGCATCTGCACACATACCCTCCAGTCTATGGTTTCGTGGCCTCACGGGATGGTAGCGGTGTGTAAATCACCACAGAAAGCCTGCGACTTTATACACTGCCGACCTTGCCAGCGGTCTGTGTGTTTCTTTTCCTGGCGTGGAGGAGGACGGGGGGGCGGAAGAGGAGGACGAGGAGTATGTCGGGAAGGATGAGCTTCGCTCAAGTCGGTCTTTGTTCTGATCGACGCCGCGACCTGATGATGGAAGCCTGGTCAACTTCCACGGAGGACGGTGGACGAGGATGAGGAGGAGACGGTTGAGGATGATGATGAGGAGGAGGAGGAGAAGGAAGAGGAGGAGGAGGAGGTTGAGGAGAAGGGATAGGGAAGAGGATGAGGAGAAGGGAAAGGGGGAGGAGGAGGAGAAGGGAAAGGGAGGAGGAGGAGGAGGAGGAGGAGGAGGAGGTTTATGATTATGAGGATGAGTATGAGGAGGAAGAGGAGGAGGAGGAGGAGGTCGACGACGAAGAGGAGGAGGAGGAGGAGGATTAGAAGGAGGAGCATGAGGAGGAGGAGGAGGTGGAATATACGGAGGATGATGATGAGAACGATGAGCAGGAGGTCGAGGACGCGGAGGTGGAGGACGAGGTGGAGGAGGAGGAGGAGGACGAGGAGGATTTTATACTCATGACCAGTGAGGCCTGGTCCGGACACGCCAGAGTGATACACTTGTGTCCTCTGCCCTTCAACACGCTCGCCGTGAGACCCGAGACAGACTTGCACGGAGCGGGAGAAGGAGGAGGACTGTGAGTGCGAGAGGTGCGAATCTCGGCTCAGCTCCTTGGCATCTTCCAGCCGCAAAAGAGGGACTAGAATTCGCCTTCTCCTAGCTCTCGGCGAGGCAAAGGCGAGCACGGCCCCAGATGCGATAGGGTCTACAGCAAATGATTATCGATCGAGCATCCCGGGGAGGGCGATCATACAAACGTGTTTCATGTGAAAACCGTCGATCCTTACCGCCGAATTCATATCGCATTCTCGAGATAAGCGGATTAATTCTTGAGGGTCTGAAGGAGGGAGTTCGGGATACTATTCAAGTCTCGAACCTGCCGATCAGCAAGCGGAGCCGAAGCAGCCCTCCAGAAACCAGTGAATGTGTGTCTCTCCCTCTCTCTTGCTGCGTTCAAGAAAGATTCGGGTCGCTGACCACGCAGCCGTTGGAGGACAAAGTTGAGGTGGGCTTCCACGGCAATGTCTGCGGGTTTACCATGTGGGCGCGCTGGGTCCCCTGACCGATGTTCTCGCGCAGCCAGCCGCGCCAGGAGGAGAGAATCGATTCCTTAGTGGAAGACTCAGCATTAGCATCGGAGAGGGAAGCTTGCATGGATGGTCGAAGATTTGCTGCTCGACCTCCTCGCTGAAACTAGGAGACAGACCTTTCAGAATGGGCTCCGAGGCCTCGAACAAATGACGCTGCGGCCCCAGATGGTCCAGACAAAAAGTTGAGGAATCGAATCGTACTCCCTGAGGGTTTCCAAGTTAGGGCAGGGAGGAGCAGGACGATGGCCCCCCAAAGAACCCCGAAGGCTTCCCAGGGTCCCGAACACCAGATGGTTTCCTGGCCTGGATAGCATTAAACACCCTGCAGACCTTGACACGATTGTAAGCCCACCTGGCGGAGTAGAACAACGGATGCTTAGAAGCCTCGCGTTCTCTCGTGGACACAGGCCTCCACGCAAGCTGGGGGCCCTCGGCCATGTTGACCCACCAGGTGTAGGTACGATTAAGCAAACGTTGAGTCTTCCTCTCGCCAGCGGACGCAGCCTCTAGAGCCTGATCCAAAATTTCAAGAACAGGGTCTCAGGACAGGGGTTTCTCGAACGGGCCTGACCGCCAGCTTAGGCGGAAAAGGGGGAGGCTTTCGAAACGCAAGAACCCCGAGTTTGGGGGCAGGGGAGGGGAAGAGCTCAAGATCCACAGGTGAGTGGGCAGTGAAAGGGAGGCTACGATTAACTGTGACCTGCTTGACAACTTTGGCGATGCCCGAGGACACAAGGAACACCTCCGACGCTTTGAGTCCACCAGTACTGCGGAGCGTATATTCTCCATTAGCCAGGGTGATTATCTCACACGGGGAGGAGGAGGGGGCGGGAGGAGGACGAGGAGGAGTGAACCGCAGCTTCCCC